ATAGATGAATTTGTTATTAAAAAACTAAGAAAATCTATTAATGTAAGGATTGCCTTGCATATCTCACATCACATCTTATGATATTTGTTTAATGTTTACTTATTGATCAGAAGCGAAAAGGTGATCTTCATACATCAAAAGATGCCATGTCATGTATTTGCGTTAATGTTAAAAACACTCAAATCATGTCTAGGATTCTGCAGGCCAGGCTTGTGGAGCCGACTGTCTTTTTTACAGCTCGGCTCCTGGCTTGGCTCGAGCTCCCGAGCTTTCTGAAAAAAATTCAAAATTTGGAAATTTTTTGATCACATTTGCCAACCCATAACTATACCAACTACAGCAATTAATTTTTAACCAACTCTCATGATTACATGGTTATTGTATTATCTATCACTACTCTACTAAACTACCGGATATTACCTTTGAAAAGAAAAATGTTTTGGGTAAAAAAACACTTTTTTTTTATATATTATTTACCCAAAACTAGAGTTTTTAGTCCGAATTTTAATTATAATTCTACCCAAGGGGCACATACCTAAAAAAAACATCTTTTGAATGTCCCAAAGACGTCCACAAGGTTCAAAAGGCATCCAAAACTTTCAAAGAGGCTTAAAAGACCTCTTTTGTGTGTCCCGTGCCCACTGGGTAAAATATGCAATCGTTAAATTCAAAATGATAAAAAATTCGAAAAACAAAAAAAGGCTTCACTAATGCAAAAACTTCAATATTTATTTTAATCTAAGGAACTTGAAGACTATAAAAGTGCTTTTTATTGTAATATTTTTCATTATTTTGAACAGCAAACATTTACGCTAACTGACAACATCAACTTCAACTGCACAGTGTCTTTTACAATTTTTTTTCCTACTTTTCTTTCTAATGTTCACTCTCTAATCAAATCTTAAGCTGTACTTATTGTTCTTACACAAATATCCTTTGTCGATTCTCCAAAATTTCTCAATAGGGCGGAACTGTGTGTATATTAATGGATTCAAGCTTTTTGGTATGAATTTGAAGTCTCTCACCAATTTTCTTAAAATAATGACAAGAAGCAAGAATAGGCCAGAACTAACAGGGGACATCGTGATTTTGATAAAATTGCAAAAGTCTAGCTTGCAACTATTCTTTGGTGTAAAAATCCGAGTTTAAAATTGACGATGTGACAAGAGCTCAAGATCTCAAACCACAACTGCATATTGCTTGCCAAAATTTAATCTTTAAAAAAACTCTAAAACTTTATACCTTTTGGCTTGTTCTTTGTTCAATAAGCCAGGATTTTGATTGATGATCGTCAAATACTTTCTTATCCTTAAAGCCACTCTTTCTTCCAGATCCTTTTGCTCGTTTGATAGATAGAGAGCTCATGTATTATTTTATGCCCATACAAACAATAGTTTTGCTAGATTCAGATACTTTAGTGATTTAAAGTAACGATGCAGAAGAATTTGGTAGATTGTTGTGCAGACTTTTTTTTGCGTTTTTTTTTTAACTGTTTTAATCACAATTTAATTAATAGACACATTTTGACTCCTTTGTTGATGTTTTTATACCATAATTTATAAACTATAATTACTTAAATAAAATAGCGCAAAAAAAAATGTGTTAGTGACAAGTTTTAAAACAAAAATCATTGTCAATCACAAAACGATCACATGCTTCAACATAGTTTTAAAGATATGAATAACCTTTGATCATTAAATCGCGCATCAAATGTTTAACAGCATAGTATCAGTATAAAAATATAATTTAAAGCATGTAATATAATATAAAAATATAATATAAAGCTGTAATGTTTCCATATATAATTTACTTTTTTTTTTAATAAAGCATATTAAGAAATACTATTAAAGGATAGTAAAATAATCATTTTTATTACGTTTTGGCAAGACCAAAACTGTAACAAAAAATATTTAAAAAAATAGAAATTCAATGTTAAACAATAAATGAATAAAGTTTGTCTAGAGTAAAAAAATAAAAAATATACATTCTATTCCTTTTAAAAAAAACACAAGAGCCAAGAGCCGCTTGATTTTTGCATCTTGGTACGGAAGAATAAAAAGAATATTTGCGAACACTAAAAACCTGCCAAATCTACAAAAAAACTAATTCTATTGGTTCAAAAAATACACTGATTATGAGAAATAAAGTTCTAAAGCATTCTGTTGAAATGTTTTCTAATTTGCATAATTATTCAAGATTTGTTACGTTTTGAGATTTTTAGCATCAATTATTTTAAGAAAATATTATCAAACGAACTTTAATACTATGGCTCATTCTCGGAGCTACATCTGCAAAGCCGTAAATCCTTTAAACTACTATTATTTGTTTACAAAAATAAATGTTTTCTAATATATATTTTTTAAAGTACCAACATTTTGAAAGTTTATTATAAATTATAGATTTTATTAGTATATTCTTATTTTTCATTTAAAAAGTATGTATTTTTTATGTAAATGTAATTTTGTGTACCTGTTTTTTATTGTAATAAAATTTTTTAAAGCAATTTTTATGATTTACTTTGCAAACAAAGACTTTCAACAATAATTGCGTTTTCAATAAAGTTATTAATAATCATCAAAATTAATAAAACTAATAAACATATAAGAAGTTTCTGATTACTAAACACAAACATGCATACAAAATAACTCGTGGATGAACAAGCACCACGCCTGAGGTCATGACAGAACACAAATATATATAGCAAGTTATTAGATATTAAGAAAAGTTTTTAGATATTGGTTTACTAACTCTAATTATCTTTGCTTCAGTTGGCATTCTTAAAAACTCGTTATACTTTTTTTTGCTTTAAATACTAATTAAAATTAAAAAACCCACTAACTAAACATCATTAGCAATATTGTGAAGCAGTTTCGGTTCCTTGTCATAAAATATTTCTATATAGTTAATTTAATTTCTATAGTAATTCAATGATTTAATTATTTCATTTGTTCATCTTACCATGGAAGTATAAACCAGATGGAAGTTTATCGAGCTACAAACATCAAAGCAATTTCAAGTCGTCTTGGGAGTATGCTTTTAACCAACAATAAAAAAAAAAACAAGGTTTCACTGGACAAAAAACAACAAAATTTACTGAAATGATTTTTATTAAAACATTAAAAAATGAATTATTTTAGGGATATGCTGCAAGGTTTTAACCATTAGTAATTGCAATCATTCAGCAAAAGTTTTATTAAATCTCCGTAATTAAATAGAACCACTTGATTTTAAAAGCATGTGTTAGTTGAAGCTTCTTTTCTTGCTTCAAGTCATAACACGACATTTGATTAAAAAGACAACTAAAACAATTTTTAAAAAATCAAAAAAATTGTTTTCTAAATAGCTAAAGTTTAAAATTTCATTAGCTGCATATCATAATTCCATTCAATCTTGTAGTAATCCATTCATTTAATATAAAGTTTATAAAAAAGTTGTTGTTTGCCGTTTCGTTGCATCATTTTTAATGTTTTTATTGAATATTATTGCCTTCAAAATACTATATTTTTAAATTATTATAAACGTACCTATTTGTGTCAAATAAAGATTAAGCGTTTAAGTACAGTCTTGACGTCATTTTCTTTTTTGAAACAAAAGGTTACAAGCATAGTCCTGAAGAATTTCAATGCGGTTGAACTTCCATCTGTTTTATACTTCCATGATCTTACTGAGAAGAAGTTTCAAATATGTTAAACTTTTTAAACTACACCAAGCATAAAATAGTTATTGAAAAAATTAACTTTTTTATTTATAAAATAATTTAGCTTAGATAAAACTAAAACTTGCGTTAGTTTTATTAAAATCTTGTTAGACTTTTCAGGGCCGGGGATTATTTTTATTTTGAATGCCTTTTTATGTGCCACAACGTAAAAATGACTAAACGAAAAGGTCTTCTTGACTTTTTGGTGCCCTAATATTAATTACAAGTATATAAACAAAAATTATATTACACTCTTTGCTAAATAAAGAACGTATCCTTTTTAAACAATCGTAAGATGTTACTTTATAAAAAAACAATTCTTAATTTTATAAAAAAATTATAAAAGAGCAACGTTTCAAAAGTATTGTTCTTAACGTAATTTATTTTGGTTTAAGTTTTTTTGCGTTAAAAGATATTTTATTTTTCTAATTTTTTTTTTTTTTGTGATTGTCTCTCATTGGTCCAAATAAACTTTTTTTTTGTTTTTTGAAATATTCTCAAAACAACTAAAAAATCTTTCCAGTTTTTCGCAACTAAATATTATTTCCATGGTTGGTAATCGAGAGCTGATTCTCTGATTCATATTGTATCAAATTCTAGGAGCTTCCTGTGGAAAACAACCATTTGGTCATACTGATCAACTGGATTAACAAAGCTTAATATGATGTGCACTATGTCTCACCCTGTGCAACATACAAATAACAAAAGTTCAAATTGACGAAATTTGAGTTGTTCGATATCTAAATATCTAAATGTCTAAATGAACTTCTTAATAACAAATTTATGTAACATTTTTGATATATATGCAATACTTCTGAATCAATATTTTTAATAACTTTCATATGTATAACTATTTATTTATACTTAATCCCTAATTTATTTTTATTCATACTTGAATAATAATGAAAATACTTGAATAAATTACAAAGTTTTCACTATGTCAAGATGAAAACAAATTTAACAAAATTAAATTAGCTAAACAAAATTAAAGCAGTTAAATTTGCACACACATACATAATATGGGGTTCAAAATATTAAAAAAATTTTTATTTAGTAAGTTTAGCAGGCAAATACTTTTTTGAATAATTGTAACACTGCATATTTAAATGCTGCACATTTTTATCCTAAATTTGCTATTGACATATAACCATTTTATTTTACTAAACGTTCATTAAACTAATCATTAAGTATCGATTTTTACCACAACCATTTGCAAAACATGGAAACAAATAAGAGCAAAACAAAATAATTTGGAAGACAAAAACAAATTATTTAAATTTCACCAATTACAACATAAACATACCACACAATGCCATTTCATTAACTCCTTTCTTTTCAATACCATTCTTTATGAAGCAACGTTTCCTACAAAAATAATAATTAACATATATTAATAACAAAAATACTATATATATGTATGTATACTTATCATACTATGTATGTATGTATGTATGTATGTATGTATGTATGTATGTATGTATGTATGTATGTATGTATGTATGTATATATGTATGCATGTATGTGTGTATATATATATAAATATATATATATATATATATATATATATATATATATATATATATATAAATTAGTGAAAACACTTATCTAATTTTTTTCTTCTACTAATTGTTTCACCATCAGTAGGTTTATCTGGAAGGATTCCTGATGAACCTACTGATGGTGAAACAATTTGTATAAGAAAAAAATTAGATGAGTGTTTTTACTAATTTAATTTATTATTGCTCTGTTCTTTAAGAACATTGAGCTCTCTCTCAAATATATATTTGTAGAATACACTGACATAATATATATATATATATATATATATATATATATATATATATATATATATATATATATATATATATATATATATATGTATATATATATATATATATGTATATATATATTTATGCATATATATACAATCATGATAGTTGTACTTTATAATGTATATATATTTGAATAAAAGGAAAAATGAAAACCTACTAAAGGTCATGAAACTAAACTAATAATAATTTATCTTTTTAAATAAAATTAAATTAATAACTAGCATAAGGCAAACAGGTAGAAATATGGGTTAAATTATTATTAATAAATATTAATAAATATAAACTATCCAAGGTTCATTGGGATTTAAAATACAATCATCAAAAACAACTTAATTTAATATGCAACCTCAAATATGTAAAGCAATATAAACTTATAATGCATAATCTATTTAGTTATGCTTGCTTATAGTATTATTTTGGTGTTTAGTTAACAACATAAATAGACTTCATAACATCAGTTATGAAGTTGTTTTTTTAACTCAGTTATAACAGCAGACATCACAAGAAGAAGCCAGAGAGAAAAAAAAAAGTACAACCTGCAAAACTTACAAAAAAAACTCTTGAAAATCTTTTAAAGAATGTTAATTATTTATAAAGGCATGTGATGATATAACATAATTAAATTATCTAATGGTAAAAAAGGCTAGTATCATAACCTAGTTCTAAACATGAAACCTATAACAGCCATTGCAACCAAGGTAGTGGCAAGAAAGAGTCACAGCACTTTTTTTTTCTAAGAAAATGTAAACAAAAGTATATTCAAATATCTGGCATACATAAACTTTAAATTATGTAATTTTAAAAAATATTAAAATAAATGATCCTGAATAAAAGGTTACATATGTGGATTTTTTACATTTGCATATAACGTAGTGTTTATATATTGTTTATATATAAGCACAAGTTTATTCCTATGCAATAAAGTTGCGTTTATTTAGAGAACCCCCTTAAAAAGTGCTGATTAATTCGAATCAGTATAAGAGTTTATAAAATGGTTTTTTTTTCATAATGCATAAACTCAATGCATAATATTCAATGCATTTCATATGCATAAGTTTAATATATTAGTGGTTTAATGTGTTGTCATCAGTGCCGTTTTGCGAGGATTCAAATTGGCCCTTTAACACAATATATTTTCAATTTTTTCAATCTGGTATTTCAATCATGACACATACACAACTAATTCCTCCCGGTGTTTTTAGAATTATTAGCTTTTTAAAAATCCTTTCGTTTGTTATAGTGTATAATAGCTTTACATGTAAAATTATGTTACATGTAAAGCTACATGTAACATAATTTATTACATGTTTAATCTGTTACATGTATAGTTATGTAAAATAATTATGTATATCTCTAAAACTTCAAAAGTTGATATATAGAAGTTCTTTTTTCCACAAATTGACGTCACTGCGCAAATTTTTTTTGACTCAGCTTTTAACTTAGCATTTTAATGATAAAGCGGCGTCTATACTTTTTAATGGTCAAATATCTTTTTAGTTTTGCCATTTGTATAGCATTATGTACAAATGTTTTTAGCATACTCTGAGAAAAGCATATGTTGAAAAAGTATAGAAAAGGTCAATGTGGAATAGACTCAAGAAGACACATTTTTTTACAGGTCTGATCAGCTAGTTCACTAACATTACTCTTAATATATTAGTGAATAAAACATAGAATCTAAGTTGATGCACATGCCTAATATAGTTTTTCAAGTCTGACCTCTTGGGTAAACTTACCAGGATTAATTTACCAGGAAGCAGGCAGAACACCAAATTTGTTAACAATTACAGTTGTAAATTTATTATGCAAAAGTAGATTATAACACATCCTTTAAAAATCAACTTTTAAAAAATGCTAGTTGAGTTTGCATTAACAACATTAAGAGATTTTTTGATTGCCATTTTGGCAACTAAATTTTGATTGTCAAGGATTGAGTAATTTAAGAAAGCTGACTTTTTGAGAGACTAGTGTGAATAACTTTGCATTTGTTGAGCTTAAAAACCTGAGCTACTTATTAGACCTTTTGTCTGCATGATCTATCTTGTTGGAGTTGTATTATATCATCTTCTGTTTTGATGACTCCTAAAATCTTACAGTCATTTGCATAAACCTTTACATGATGCACCATGTTGCCTGGAAGTGGATCTAAAATTGAACCTTATGGAACTCTGCTTGCGACATCTATCTATGCTGACTTGTTATTGCTGATAACCACTGTCTATTTTTGGTTTTTTAACTAGTCAGTTATCCACTTGTGTATTGTGCCACATGTTGTATGCCTTGAGCTTTAGAAGAAGCCATCAGCAAAGTACTTTGTCAAAAATCTTGGTGAAGTCAGTGTAAGTTACATTAATGGCATAATAAAGAAACAGTCTATTTGTTAAGATGTTGCGTGCCTCTAGTAGTTAGTTGTACATCCACATCTTGAAAGAAATCCATGTTGAGATTTTGTGAAGAGCCTATTTTCAAGTCAATACTTAGATAATTTTTTGTATATAAAAGTTCCAATACTTTACAGGGTACCAATGTAAGAGAAACTGGTCTGTAGTTCAAGCATATTCTATTGCATTTGTTAGGTATTGAATTTTCTGTATTCAAAGGTAGAGTCTTTAACCAATGGAAGCTATCAAATGTAAAGATAGGGGTTACATTTGATAGCTTCTATTGGTTAAAGACTCTACCTTCAATTAGTGGTTTTTGAAAATCATTGTTAGTGTAATGGGTTTCGCATTGGAACAGTGTTGAAGAAAGCATATATATATTCCATAGTAGCTTTCTGGCTTTACCTAAAAGGTTGGCATCTGATGTAATAGTTCAAAGTCAAACACAGATTGGAAGTATTTATTAAGCAAATAAAGATTATTGTATTATTAAGCAAATAAAGATGTTGTAAGCTTTAGATTGTTATTTTCCACTGACCATTTTATTTGCTTCTGTTTGACTTGGTTATAAAAACGCATTGGATCAAATTTAAAAGGAGCTACACTGTCATTCCCATACTTGACAAATGCAGATTTTACAACTTTAACTAGCTCTTTGTAAACTGCCTTATGCTCTTTTGGAATTACTTCCATCGACCAAAACTCTTTGGGAATTGTGTCCATCGACCAGCTTCAACCACTTTTTCAAAATGTTCTTTTCTTTGCTTAAAAAGTATTTCAGATGAAAATATGTGCAAATTAACCAATATGCTAATTTTGTTAACTCACAGTCGTTGTTTGCTGAAAAAGAGTGGAAGTTTGTCACCTAGTTGTAGGATGTGATTTGTGTTTACTTTAACACGAGTAATGTTTGTAGTAAAAGAACTTATGAATAAAAGGGAAGTTGGAGTACAAAAGATCGAGGGGCACAGTGAATAAGAGGCATTTTCTCAAGATTAGAATTTTGTTAATCTTGATAATGTAATCATTTTATGTGCTCATATATCAGCCATCTTTATTTATAGTTGTTACCACATAATTTTTGACTACCGATTATTGGTAGGTAATTTTTGTTTTAAGCTAACTTAAGTAAATTTTCTTACCGTCCTTATGTTTTTTAGGGTATCATGGTTGAAATAATTTCAAAAATTGAAGTTTTTCATTCAGAATATTGATATTTATGCTTCCTTTTAGCAGTTTAGCTTTTAAAAAAACTCGTGTCTCAAGAAATTAGACTTAAATTTAATGTGTTATGGTGAGACACAGTAAATTGGAGTAAAGTAAATAGGTTGATTCACGTTATTTACTTTTCTTTTATTTGCTGGGGTATCTTCTATTATGTAGATTGCCACACCTCCACCTCTGCTTCCTCAGTTTTTTTAATGGAGTTAATAGCCCCGAAGTCGAGTGTCTGATGTTTCATCAAACTAAGTTTCAGCAAAGAAAAAGAACTAAAAGTGATTTTGTCTAGTTGTCTCATTGTCAATGCTTGCCATTAATTTGTTTTCTTTGGCTATGTTCAGCAAATAAAGTTTAATTGTCTAGAATAAATTGTCTAGAAATCAACTTATTTTAGTAGTTAATTTTGTTGGATGGGATTTGGTTGACTTGTTGATTTTTTGCTTGGCTGATATAATTAAAGAGCAATCAGCAACACTCTTGGTTGATGTGGTGGTAGAAGTGGAGGCAGAGGTGTAGATATTTGTTGTTGGAAAGTCAAGGATTGTTATTGACTTTGGCTGTTGCTGATTTAATTTGATTGATTTGTTCTTTGCTACTGCAAACACACCTCTTGATATTGGCAGATTGGACAGTGTTAATCCTTTACAAGGTTGTCATCCAGTCTGTCTGTGGATAATCCAGTGAAAGGGCTGACAAAATCTACATTCTTTTGCTTCTTTTCATTTTATAGTTTATTGAAAGCTTCTTGTTCTGCTGCTGTTCAATGTTTTTGAGTGTATACTCATCTGAAGGCTTCCTCCTTGTGAAAGTTACCATTGCCTAGAATGTCTTGTTGTGTGATTGTTGATATGAGCACAACTTGTATAACACCAATTGGGTCTTGGTTATTTTAGTTTGTGTTCTGGTAATTGTTTGATTGATTGTTTCTTTT